GGCAGGATGCAGGTTTCTGCTGTAAAAGCTGTGCTGTGGCAGAGCGGGGGAGGGGGGGGGGGCACAGCTGCAGGCACGAGTCCATTAATGACAGTCATGTAGCATCAGGCTTTAACAGAGAGGAGCTGCATCAGTTTGTCCTGCAGAGGCGTTCACTGAACTCACAGAGGTTTCAGTTTCCTGTTTCAGCTGTTTGTAAAGAGCTTTATTCATCCGCAGAGACACAGGAACAAACAAAAAAATGCACAATTCAAATTGATCAGGAAATCAAGTTAAAGTTTGTTTGTTTTGTTTTTTGTTGCGACAGGGAACAGGGATGATGTGGCAGAAGAACGGAGACGACTCTAAGTTCAGCCTGAAGCAGACGAAGAGCGTTTGGACCCGACACACCAAGATGGTCGACCTCTGACCTCTGACCTCTGCGTGTCGTCTGTAGGTTTTAATAACAGAAATAATAATTCTCACTGTGTTTCCTCTCTAGAGCTTATTGGGTCTATTCAGCAGGGTGAGAGAGAGCTCTCTGATTGGCTGTTCAGTCGGCCAATCAGTGCTTCCCCTGTTTACTGACACTGTGACGCAGCTGCTACTTCCTGTCAGGACAGCGTGTTAAAGTGAAACACAAGGCGACGTCACACGGTGCGGACTGTAGTGGTTTGGTGGTCTTGGTCTTGGTGTGTGGGGGTCCTGATGCACAGCGTTGAGCGGGGGAGGGGCAGCGGTGCAGCTTCAGAACAGCCAGCGGGGGGAGGAGGGGCTGTCGCTCCGGGACTCTTACCATGACACGAGTCCCTGAGAACCCAGATGTCCTCGAAGGGACACCCGGACTGGGACAGGCGGCTCGGAGACAGACCTATCAGACACAGAGACTCTGATGGACCGCGTTCTGTCAGGGGGGGGCGGACTGAGGGGGGTGGGGGGGGGATCAGGTATTAGTTTACATCAGATCCTGGTTTTGATCTGATCACTGAACCTGAACTCCCTCGCTCTCCACTGAACTCCTGTCTCTAACGTCTCAGCTGTGAACATGTCCGCTGCGTTCAGCCCTCTCTGAGCCGGACACGCCCACTCATACCTGGACTCACCTGCGTCTGTCCACATCATGTCTCACCTGCAACAGTCCAAAGGTCTTATGGGAAATAATGTGTAAACAACAACATTAGAGTCCTCTTCCTCGTCGGCACCGCGGTGAGTCAGGTTGTGTTAGAGCTCAGAGGGTTAGTTTCAGTTCTGGATCCAGCTGCACAAAACACCTGAAGTCTCCTCCTTCAGGTGAGCAGAGCTGTAATGTTGCCTCCCTTGATAACAGGTACCAGCTAATGCCAGCAAACAAATGGTCTCCATGGAAACAGTAGAATTTTACTGCTGTAAAATGTCTTTCACTGCTGTAAATTACTTTACCTTTCCACAAAACACCCGTGTGTGTGTGTGTGTGTGTGTGTGTGTGTGTGTGTATACCTGTGCGTGTGTGTATACCTGTGCTGGCAGTGAGGCCGTTGGCCAGCGGCAGCACCACGTGGGTGGGGGGGGCGTACAGAGTGTAGGAGTCGTCAGTCTGGGGGGCGGAGCTGAGGCTGGAGGAGAGGGGGGCTCTGGACAGCAGCTGCTGGCGCTGTCCGGTGGGCAGAGAGGCGTGCCGGGAGAGGGTGCCCCCTACAGGGCGAACAGGGGGGGAGGAGGGGGAGGAGGAGGGGGGGTTATCAAGCTGATGGTTAGAGGTGGAGGTCAGTCATTATATGGTATGGATGGAGAGATGGATGCAGGAGGGAGGAGAGAGAGAGGCGGGGGTGGAGGCATGGGATGGTCTGGAAGCAGGCGGATTAGTTCCTGACTCAGGACCTGGAGGCGGGGCTTCTGATCTACATCACTTCCTACGTGAGGCGGTGACGTTGTGATGGAGTGAGGTGACGTGGACACAAACATTAAACTACCAGTCTTGTCACATGAACGTCTCCTTGGATTCATCCGCCGCTGAAAATAGTCCCCAACAAATGACTGACATAATTCCTCCTGTTTGTCTGATGGAAACGACAGTGAGCAGCAACCAGGAACCAATGAGCTCAGGGCTGAGAGCCTCAGACAGAGGAGGAAGGTGTTGAGGGACGGACACACTGTTGGTTCAGGTCTGTACATGATTATTGACACTGAGAAATAAGAGCAGACTTCATGGAGCCAGTTCAGCTGCTGTTTCACCATCATCTCTGACATTTTACATGTCTGATATTTTCACTGAGGGTGTGTGTGTGTGTGTGTGTGTGTGTGTGTGTGTGTGTGTGTGTGACCGCGGCGAGACGTGGCACTGACCGTTCCTCCTGCTGATCACCTCCACGATGGACGGAGGGAAGAAGCCGACTCGGTCCATCCCTCTCGGGCTGTCGTGGATGTGTCCCTTCCAGCGTCCGTCCACATGCTGCTCCAACACCTGGTTGTGGGGGAGGGTGAGGGTGGGGGGTGGGGGGGTG